CTGACCCAATAGCATATCTTGAAAACTAGAGCCAATCAACAATTTTAAGCATCATTTTCATTCTCAGTGACCCAGAATTAGTAAAGTTCGACTACATTTATTTCAGAAGCATTTTGGCTGTAGAGGAGTGTTATCTGTCCATAAAATGTATTGCCCTGACTTTCTGCTGACAGGCCACAGAAATACCAAAATTAAATACTTGCTAGACTGCAAAAAGCTTCCTGTTAGCAGAATGTGACAATAGACAGACAAGCACATTGCTGCACTTGCAAGGATCCCAGAAAGCCGTAGAATTAGGAAAAAGCAACACATAGCAAAGCAAATTGCAGCTGAAAAATTGTAACATTATTCCCTTTTAATATATATTGTTAAAAATGAACATTTTTACAAGCTGAATAGATGAGAGTCCAGATGCTGTCTGCATATGTCTTATGCATTTCATGATTACAAACAAACTGCAGAATACATATCAAGCCATCTAAAATGGTGTGGATATGAGCCCAGCTGGTGTCCCCATATGCCTTATGAATTTCACCATGTAGGGATACAGCAGAGCATATATAAACTTGGCAGAATTTGATTTTTTTAAATACAATTTTGATGGATGTTTATTTTTAAGCATTTTTTACATTTTAATTTATATAAGTTTTCACATTTGGGGGAAATTATGGGGGGAGGGGCACCAGACAATAATTATTTAGTGATAGATGTTGAGATTCAAAAAGTTAAGGTTTATAACTGTTGAAGCTCAAAATTGTCAACATCACATATCAAAACATATAAATAATGATCCTTAAATCAAACGCTAAGTTCTCAAGCAGTGTCGTTTTTCCTTTGCATAGCTGTAAATTTTGATTCTGGATCGAGACAGGTTTCCATTGGTTTGTATGTGTGGTGAAATCAATGTTTGCCGATATTTTCTGATAAAAATCTAATCATCTAAGTATAGCATCAGAGCTGGTTTCTGCATTTTAGGCATCTCTTCTTTAAAACGTACAAGTAGGGTTGCTGCACTGGAGTGTTCTGCACCATAATCAAAACAGGCCCATCAAGAGTTCATGAAAATAGTTGCATTTTATAGTCATATTTTACTGGGAACAGCACTGGCCTAGCTAATATATTTTCCAGGAGGGTCATGACAGCTACTCAATGTGGAATCCTCAGTGCTGCATGGTACCATGTACTTCTAAAATTCTAAAAGAAAGCCCTCGGGGTAAAGAAACAGATCAATGACATGGTAAGTGATGGGCAAGTTTATCAACTGCTACCTAAAGTGCAATAAGACCAGCCCCTCTGCTGTACACAGTAGATGAAGACTAGTTAAATACTGTGGAGGTACATCATGGAATTCTAGTGCATCCTATAATAATGAAGACAGTCAGTCAACATCAACTTTTAAATTACTCTGCTCATCTTATTTACTTGTAGACTATCAACTGCCTACTGTCCCAGATCATTTGTCTAAAAAATACTGTGCCTACAAATGAAAAATAAAAATACAGTACACAGGAGAGTGTTGCTTTTTGTTTATCCACTGTCAGTTCACAACAAAAACATCTGATCAATTTAACCCAAATACTTGACTGGCATACATCCCTGAGAGAGAGAGAGAGAGAGAGAGACCCAGTTACAAGTTGAATATACACAATATGCTAGAAAAAAATCTCAACATAAAAGAGCCTCTTGGTAATATTAAATAAAAGCTGCAGGATCAATACCATGCAAAAAAAAAAAAGTGAAGATTTCACTTAAAGCTGCACATAGAGCAATTTTTAGTGGGTTGGCTCTTAAAGAGCCAGAGGAAGAAAGGTAAATGTATTTAGCAGGGTGGTACACACATTTGAAAAATACTACAATTTTTTAAACAATTGATATTTTAATGAACACTGTTTTCAATAGTGTAAGTAGCATTGTGGTGCTTGAGGGCTCTATTCTTGCTTTTTTCCATTTCCATGCATCTTTATTCTGGATTTTCAGTTTAGCTGGATAAGTATATGTTCCGTTCTCTGGTCTACTCAAATAATATTCACACTGTGAGCCTGCTCTGTCCTCCAGGCAGTGTTTAGGTTATTAAAGTAGAGATTAAATGGACATTCCCTTTAAACCTATACTTTCCCTTCATTTGGTCAATAAACATATAATGTACACTTGACATCACTTTTTTTTTAATAGGTTGTGCAGCCTCCACCACTGGTTAGTGCACAGGCACTAAACGTGCGGAAAATGTGAGGCTTGGCATGCTCTGCTTGATCTCAACAGATCTACCAACACTGCTATTCTTGATGTGTGAATAACTGTAGCATTATATCTGCAGTTGCGAAAGCTAAGTCTTCAGAGATAGGTCAAGCATACACTCTATCAAACAGTTGCAAACCCTTTTGGGCTCTCCACCTATATAAAATTACTCTATATGGGCCAATTTCAGCATTAATGGAGAGCTGGATTGCCTTTCCAATGGGTAGGTTTGATATGATTGTGAACACTAATAAGTGGAAAAAGGAGATATGAATGCATGAAGTTAAAGACAAGTCAGGTTCTCGATTACACACTACAGCAATTGTTGGAAAATTTGAAATATGTCCCCTGTTATGCTCCCAAGGTCAATCAGACTCCCTTGTGCTTGATTATATAAGTTCTGGTCATGTTAGCTAAAGGGACCAGATGTTTACAGGTATTTAGGTGCTGCACTCAGCATTGTAACACCTAACTGATTTAGGAACCCAAATCTCATTTTCAAAAGGGATTTAGGCACATAGGAGCCAAAAGATCATTGACAATCCTGAATTCAGCAGTACCTAAATATCTTGAGCAATTTGGACCAAGATGTCTATGATTACATTTACGCAGCCACTTTTCCCACAAATTCCCTGAAACAAAAACATAGGGTACAGAAATATGTAAATTGCTTGTTAAGCGAGTTTCCCCTTCTCCTTTTCCCCCATTCACCTTGACACATACACTTCTAGCATGCCAGCTGGGTGCCCTGAGATGCATAACACATACTCAGAGGGAGAATATAGACTCCATGTAGTTTCAGTGATCTGCAATAGCTGTACTTCTCATGTTAGTTACAGAAAGAATTAAGATATCCTGGGACTAAGAATGGAGCCCTTAACTCAGAATGAGAAATCATTACTAAAAAAGGATATATACCAATGACCAGAATTTCTATATTTTGTCATGTCCTTTATCCTAGCTACAATGTACATCATCCAAGACATTCAGGAACTACATATCAACCACTGGACTACACTTAAGTCAGGAAAATATCCAAATAAACTTTTAATTATGATACAATACTTATTACAGTAAAAATTGGCATTTTTTTCTCTTCAAAAGCAGAAGCACCAGTCTTATATGTAACATATGGTATGAATGATATCTTAAGTGAAATACAGCATAATGTAATGAGCAAACAGCATTTTAGTACAGAACATAATTTTTAAAAAAAGTCATACACTGAAATCTGCTCAAATGGAAACAATGTCATGCTGAATTAAAAACTCAGATTTTAAAATCAATCGATCAGAAAATGATGTACTGCTGAATAGATATATGAATAATTAAAATGATAAATAGCCAAAAAAGGCTAGAGAGGGCATTGTCATACAAACATGACTAAAGTTCAGATTCCTTCCCTCCCCCCGCCCCCATAAATAAATACATAAATAATGGTGCAATGCTTTTGTTGGAAAGTAAATTGAACTTTTAATATTTAAGAAGCAGTTTTCAAATGTTGATGTAGTTTTAATGTTGTAAAAATCAAGTTATAAATCAGACAATTTTTACTCTCTTCTTTTCAATACACTTCAGTTATTATGAGTGGACTGTGAAAAGAGATGATGTCCAGTGTAGTGAATACACAGCAGCTTCATCATCATGTGACTTCTGCAAAGGCCGTGATGTGGTTCTGTAAGTTGAAAAAAAAAAATCAAACAAGCACACAGTTAGCTATGTATAATCATCATAACAAAGATTATTCCTATTTTTGGCTTTTGAAACATTCTTATGCTTGGAGAGTTTTGTAGTACAATGTAAATAAAAATGTTTCTAATTGCAATGCTGTCCATCCCTTCCCATAGCAAATCTTTTTTTAAATAGTGCAAAAATTGTATACATAAGTACAGTGAACAAAGTAACTCAGTGGTATAGTTCTACAACATTTTAGCTTTTAATGCATTTTTCATTTAATAACAATTTGAATAATTAAATTAGTTGTCATTTTATTGCTATCTTATTTATAATTAAAAGCTAAATTTCTGGGAATGCAAACTGCTGCCTGACAGCTGATAGTATTCTGTTTTAGTGTTAATACAATTTTAATGTTGCATTTCTTTTTAAGTTTAATTGCTCCCTGTGAGCCAGATGGCATGGAATGAAGTAGTGAAATGCTAGAATTCACTAGTTTATAGAACATATTAAAAATTACTTCTTCAGACCCATTGCAGCATCATTTGCAATGTTCTTCTGTTGCTTCCTTCAACAAGTGTATTCTTTAAGAATGTGTGTGTATATGTAACAGGTTTTACTTCACTTTTTACTTAAAACACTACACAGTAAAAACAACTGTAGTGTCCAGAATAATTATGCTGTTCATTGTCATGCTCCAGTCTGAGCCTGCTCATGCAAACACTTATGCAGGTGGGTAACTTGACTCACGTGAGTCTCATTCACACACCTGCTGAAGTGTTTGCATTTGGTTCCTAGTGGTGGGATTCTGCAAGGCACTGAAAACCTACTCTGTGGTACCAACTGTTCTCAACTCCTATTGTCTTCAATATACAATCTCTTTTCTAAGGAATTGTTTAAGCCACCATTGGGAAACATATTTTAAACAGACAAAATGAAACGCAGTCCTATTGCTATAGGGCCCTACGCATCTCCTCCCATGTGAAAATGCATGGAGGAAAATTTAAGGCGGAAGTACTGCAGATTTTGGTGTATTGCTGTAGGATCACATCTTTTCTCTTGCCACCTTCTCATATCCCCCAGCAGTAGGACCACAAGTAACGTGGAGACAGTGCAAGGCAAGAAAAATGGGTAAAGGATATGAAAGACTGTACACGCCTTACCCTACTGTCACTTAAGTCTGGTCTACACTAGCGGGGGGATCGATCCAAGATACGCAACTTCAGCTACGCGAATAGCGTAGCTGAAGTCGAAGTATCTTGGATCGAATTACCTGGGGTCCACACGGCTCGGGATCGATGGCCGCGGCTCCCCCGTCAACTGCACTACCACCGCTCGCTCTGGTGGAGTTCCGGAATCGACTGTGAGCGCATTCGGGGATCGATATATCGTGTCTTAATGAGACACGATATATCGATCCAGGATAAATGGATTGCTACCCGCCGATACGGCAGGTAGTGAAGACGTACCCTTTGTCTGACTCTCTTCAGTGCCCCTTCCAGCATCATCTCCCTTTGCCAGTAACATTCCTAACTGTGTTCTCAATTGCTCTCAGGCTGTGGGCTGGTTTTCTGATTCATGTGACGGGGTTCAGAGCTCACATAAGGGTCATTCATATTGCACCATCCTTACTTTTTAGAAGGAATTTAATCTGTGCAAGGGAGGAAAGGTGCTGCTTAAAGTGCAGATTCCTTAGCTCTTCCTCTAGACCAGTCTCCTATGGGGATAGAGGCATTTTATGGAAGGGAATGTAGTAGTTACCGATTGGAAGTGGAGAGATGGAACATCCTACCATTACACCCTATGTCCCTCTATCTCTAACCCCAGTCATTCTGGTGACTTTGTTCCTGGCCTCACAGCACAGCAAAGGGACATAACTATGTTTTATTTGGTGGGGGGAGGGGAAATAACCCATGTTTTCTATTATGATTTTTAAAAAAATACTGGAATAAAAAAGAAAAGCTTTTGTATTAGTGGAACTTTGGATTTCTGTAAAGTCTCTATTTTAATTTTACTCAAAAACATAAAAATGCTTTAAACAAATGACAATTGATTAAACATCTGCTAGCAAATTACTTTCTCTAATGATCATTTTGATTACTACAGAACTTGATGTGAAGAAGTTTTTAGAGTTTTAACAGTGTTAATACTTGGCAAAGATTTCTGGACTGTCATCACAAAAGAGAAATAAAATTAGATTTCTTAAATGGAAAACAACATATTCAGATGAAGCTCAGGGAACTATTTACTTACTGGGCCAAATTCTGCTCTCAGTTATGCTTGTGCCACCCCACTGAACCCAAAGCAGTTGCAGGGGATTACAAAATTTGGCCCACTGTATTTATATTGACACCTATTTAGACCTGAAAAATGATACAGTCAACTTAATCTGATTGCTGTCTAAAAATTGTTTATCTATTGTTATAACAAACGCCTAATTGAAAGAGATTAGCGAAAGAAATATTTACTCTGTTTTTTCTTTAAGTAACATTTTCAGAAAACGGGACTTAGGTAATTTTGAACATTTTACCCTTTGCATACTTGATGATACTTTACATTAATATTCAGTTTCTACTGTTGTTTATGTGGATTTTTCACATAGCAACAGAGAAAAGGAAACATTTTAAAGAACATATGCTGGCAGGGGCACTCTGGTGCCCCCGGTGTAGGTGTAGAAGGTGTAGAACCTGAAACTGCTTAGCTCATTGTTTTGAAATTGGCTAGATTTTCACTCTAGAGATACAATGCTCTTCCACAAAAGTATCCAATGGAGGGGTTAGTGGAACCCAGACTGGTGGTCAACATTGAGTTTCATGGACATCTTTTTCCTTGGGAGCGTGGAGGAAGCAGGCATTACGGCCTTCCAAAACCATAGATCCTGTGCAAAATCCCCCTTTCTGAGGGAGAGGGGGTGTGCGCGCGCGTGTGTGTGTGTGTGTGTGTGTGTGTGTGTGTGTGTGTGTGTGTGTGAGAGAGAGAGAGAGAGAGAGAATGCACAGAGTCCAAGTTTAATGC